CCTTCATCATTTCATCTTTGTCTTCATCAGATCTCGGACATTGCTTCTGGTTCAGCTTTATGTGTCCGGCTAGGGGGGTGCTCACTGTTTTGGCTTTGTCCATGCTAAATCTCTTCAAAATCTTCTCAATATATTTCTCTTGACTCAGCCACAGTAGCTTCTTCTGTCTATCTCGGATAATCTTGATTCCGAGTATCTGCTTTGCAGAGCCGAGGTCCTTCATTGCGAAGGACGAGCTCAACTCCTTTTTCAGGGCGGCTATCCTCGATTTGTCTTTCCCTACAATAAGCATGTCGTCAACATATAACAACAAAATCAGAAAATCTCCAGCCTCATACCTCTTCACAAATACGCAGTGGTCGGCATCTGTCTTTTCAAATTTATGATCATTCATGAATGATTCAAACTTTTTGTACCACTGCTGAGGTGCTTGCTTCAAGCCATAGAGGCTCTTCTTCAACCGACATACCAAGTCTTCTTGGTCTGGAGCTTGGAATCCTTCAGGTTGCTCCATGTATATTTCTTCTTCTAAGTCACCGTGAAGAAATGCCGTCTTCACGTCCATTTGTTCTACCTCGAGGTCCATTGAAGCCGCCATGGCTAGCACGGTTCGGACCGAGGTCATTTTCACAACAGGAGAAAAAATCTGCTCAAAATCAACTCCTTTCTTCTGATTGCAGCCTTTCACTACAATCCGGGCTTTGTATCTCGACTTTTGTCCGTTCTCTTCATTCTTAATCTTGTAGACCCATTTATTCTTCAAAGCTCGTCTTCTTTTTGGCAATTCAGTCAGCTCATAAGTCTGATTCTCGTGCAGAGACTTCATCTCGTCTTGCATTGCCTTTTTCCATTCTTCTTTCTCTGAGCTCATCACTGCCTCATCATAACTCTGAGGCTCACCGTCTTCGGCAACAACGGTGTATTCATCAGATGGGTATCTTGTAGAGGGTCTTCTTTCTCGAGTTAGATATCTCAGCTGTTCTTCAGCTTGAGGACCCGGTTCGTCATTCTCATCCCGGATCTCATCATCAACTCGGACCTCAGTGTCTTGGTCATCATCAGCTTGTTGCTGATCATCAATTTCTTCATTTTCTTGATTTTCTCCCCCTGCTTCAGCTCGGACAGGAGGGACGGGTTCTTCACGTCTGACAGTAACCCGGACTTTGGGCTTCGAGATGTCATGAATGTTCTCATGCTCATGAAAGATCACATCTCGGCTTCTCACTATCTTCTTATTAGGGGTGTTCGCGGTCTAGATTGGATCGGTTTTGGAAGCAAAACTCATCCGATCCAATCCCTTCGGTTTGATCATGTAATCATCCATTCGGTTTAGATTGTTTTTCAAATCCGATCCAATCCAATTTTTTTCGGTTTGGATTGGATCGGTTTTCGGTTTTTTGAAAATCCTAAAATAAGTTTCATGATTATTGTGCAAATAACATCTTTTGTATATATTGGCTTTGTAAAAAAAAAATTGAAATACAAAAATATCAGTAAACAATACCATAGTTGATGAGACGTGACTAAGTTTTTTTTTGGGTTTAGTTGATGAGTTAATGGGTCTTGAGTTTTGAAATTTTTGGGCTATGATTGGAGAAAGGACAAGTAGGTAGAGAATAATTAATATATTGGATCGGTTTGGATTGGATCGGTTTGGATTGGATCGGTTTTCATCAACCCATCCGAAAACCGATCCAATCCAATTAAAATTTGCGGTTTTCTTTCGGTTTCTAATTTTTCGGTTTTCGGTTTATTCGGTTATCGGTTTTTCGGTTCGATTTTCGCGGTTTGAATCGGTTTGGATCGGTTGATGAACACCCCTACTTCTTATTGATTGGATCCCAAAGTTGGAACCCGAACTCACATCTCGGCGAACCAAGATAAATGCATTCTTTAGTCTTTGCATCAAGTTTGGCCCTTTCATCTTTAGGGATATGCACGAAAGCTCGGCATCCAAACACTTTTAGTTGATTATAGGCCGCTTTCCGACCTGTCCAGACTTCTTCTGGAATTTCTCCTTCAAGTGGCCGTGATTGTGATAGGTTGATTAAGTCAACAACAGTTTTGACAGCTTCTCCCCAGAATGATTTCGGCAATCCGGCATTGGATAACATGCTTCGGACCTTCTCTTCAATAGTTCTGTTCATCCTCTCAGCAAGTCCATTCAACTGTGGAGTCTTGGGGGGCGTCTTCTCAAGTCGGATCCCGGCCGCTCTGCAGTATGCATCAAATGGGCCGCAATACTCACCACCATTGTCAGATCGGACCACCTTCAATTTCTTGCCAGTCTCCCTTTCAACCATCGCATGGAATTCTTTAAAGGATTGGAGTACCTGGTCTTTAGTCTTCAAAAAATATACCCACACTTTGCAAGAATGGTCATCAATAAACGAAACAAAGTACTGAGCTCCTCCAAGAGATTTCTCCGACATGGAGCAAACATCAGTATGGACGAGGTCAAGAATATACCTGCGACGTCTAGGTTGATCCGGTCTCACAAAAGAAACCCGGTGCTGCTTTCCAGCTAGGCAGTGCGTGCAACTCTCCAACGCTTGGCCTTTCAACCCGGTCAATAATCCTTTCTTGTTCAGGATCTGTAGCCCTTTCTCGCTCATGTGGCCGAAGCGCTTGTGCCATAGCTCCAAGCTAGGTTCATCTCGAACAGAATTGGCTTCTCCGCCATTGATCTTTCCTTGCATCACGTACAAGGAGCCTTCTTTCTTACCTCGGGCCATGACCAAGTTTCCCTTGGCCAGCTTCCATCTCACACTACCGAAGTAGTTCACTATCCCGACATCATCAAGTTTGCTTACCGAGATTAGGTTCAAACGCATGTCAGGAACATGCCTCACATCTTTCAACACAAGTCGGCATCCGACATCCATGGTCAGAGTTACATCACTGACACCAACAATCTTGCTGGTCACTTGATTTCCCATCTTCACGACTCCAAAATCACCACCTCGATAAGAGGAGAACAAACCTTTGTGTGGAGTAACGTGGAAGGAGGCACCGGAGTCAACAATCCAGGTGCAGTCATCATATGCAACATTCAAATAATTATCCTCACCAAGGGGGAATATCTCGGCATCCGGGTTGGCAGCCACCGCAGTGGTGCTCTTGTCTTCCCTCTTCTTGGGAATAATCTGATCCGGCTTCACAGAGCCGTTCTTCTCGTCATTTTGCAGGGTCCAGCAGTCTGGCTTCTTATGGCCTGTCTTTCCACAGTAAAAGCACTTCAACTCATATTTCGGCTTTGACCGACCTCTGGACTTTTCTCGTCTGTCATGACCTCTACCTCGGCTTTTGCTTCTACCGCGGGAGTCAGATTTCCCTTTGTTCTCAGCAACGTTGGCCTCAGACGTACTCGAAGTACCTCGTTCTCTTCTCCTGGATTCTTCGCCCAGGAGGCTGTCTGTCACGACATCCATCTTCAATTTTCCATCTGGAGTCGAGTTATTCAGGGTCACCACCAGAGTATCCCAGCTTTCTGGCAGCGAGCTCAACAGCAGCAATGCCTGCAATTCTTCATCAATTTTTATATCAGCCTTTGACAATTGATTCACAATACCTTTGTAGGTGTTCAGGTGTTCAATCATGCTCATGTCGTCCTTGTATTCAAGCTTAACAAGTCGGCGAACCAGGTGTGCTTTGTTCCTGGGAGTCTTCTTCTGAATCATGGACTCTAATTTCGTCCACAACTCATACGCGTTCGTGAATTCGGACACGTGCTCAAAGAGGCTTTTATCAATATAGTTCCTGATCGTGGCTACCGCCTTCCGACTCAGGATCTCCCACTCCTTATCTGTCTTGCCTGCTGGTCTCTCATCAAGGATAATGGGCTCATGCAAATCTTTGCAGTAGAGATGATCTTCCATCATCGGTCTCCAATAAGTGAAGTTGCCTGCGGTCAACTTGAACATATCTCCATCATGAGTTATGCCACTGGTCTCCATCTCGTCTCCTTCAGAACCCGTCGAACTCGGGCTCTGATACCACTGTTGGGAAAACTCGGTTCCCTCAAGCTCGACTCAGGGGCCTTTGTGCGGAAGTCAATCAACAAGATCCTGATCTCGGATCTCGGCAATACCTCGGCCTGAACTTCACCAGGTCAGGCAGCGCAGCGGAAAAATCAAAACGAAAAACAAGAGAGAGAGAGAGAAGAAGAACACAACCAGATTTAACGTGGGAAAACCTTCTCCAATAGAGAAGTAAAAACCCACGGGACCTAGTCCAGATCAGAAATCCACTATGAAAATAATGGTTACAAATAATCAAATACACCAATGTGGTGGTTAACTCAACCTCTCCAACAATGGTGATAATCAAACTACCCTAGAGATGTTTCACTCAAACTCTCTCTAGAGATCTCTCAAATGCAAAGCATAAAGCTTTGCTCAAACAATCAAATAATTCTCTCAAATTTGTTCTCTCAAATCTGACCTTTCAAATCTAACATAGCCTTAACCCTCAACTAATGAGTATATATAGAGATGTGGAAATTAATGTTAGGGTTTTTAGGAAACCCCTCAAATGGGCTTGGACTTAGCATTGAAGGAAGAAGCCCAACAGGAGCTTCATATATATTTTTTCAATATGATTTATTTCGGTTCGAGTAAACTCATATTATCTCCAACGAATGGAAAAATAAATTTCTTGTCAATTGAACTCGTGGTTGTTGGTGGCATAGCTCCATATCTTTTTTTTTAGGTAAACTGGAGCTCCATATCTTTAATCATGTTAATAGATAAACAAAAATAATATTTATAAATTAAAAGTCTTATATTATTTTACGTTTTACTCATTTTACCAAAAGTTAGTAAGAAAACCCATTAAAATGAGTATTTTTTATTCATTATATAGAAAATATAAAAAATTTAAGACAAGGTAACTTCACATGTTTTTTTTTTTAGTAATGTCTTAACGCAGGTACCAAAAATTTACTCCAAAGTTGACGACATGATTAATGGAAGACAAAAAAGCATAATATTATATGCGATTGTAAATGTTTGATATATTTGTACTACTCCCACAGGAAAGATGCTTGCAGGAATTGCCGAATTGGAAAAATATATAATTGAAGACAAGGGAAAGCCAAAAGACAAGAGACAAAGGCTCGTAATTGTTGGCACGTACGATGGACTCAGGGAAGCCTCTGAAACTGTACTTCATTCATTACCTAGCAGCTGGTCATATGATCCCTCTATGCGACATAGCAACACTCTTCGCTTCTCGTGGCCACCACGTCACCATCATCACTACTCCCTCCAACGCTCAAATCATTCACAAATCCTTACCTTCCAATCACAACCTCCGCCTTCACACCGTTCAATTCCCCTCCCAAGAGGTTGGCCTCCCCGACGGCATCGAAAACCTCTCCGCCACCGTCGACCTCAACAACCTCGCCAAGGTCTACCAGGCCACCACGCTCCTCCGATCACCCATCGAGCACTTCGTGGAGCACAACCCACCCGACTGCATCGTCGCTGACTTTTTGTTCCCATGGGTGGAAGACCTTGCAAACAAGCTTGGCATCCCCAGGCTCGCCTTCAACGGATTCTCCCTCTTTGCCATCTGCGCCATAAACTCCGTGACGCCACACTCAATCGATGCTTCCGGTTCCTTAGTCATTTCGGGTCTTCCTCACCCGATAACCATTAACACAACACCGCCAAAGGAGTTGAGGGAATTCCTGGACTCGATGCTGGAGACAGAGCTCAAAAGCTTTGGGCTCATCGTCAACAACTTCGTGGAGCTCGACGGAGAAGAGTACGTCCACCACTACGAGAAAACCACGGGTCACAAGGCATGGCATCTTGGTCCAGCCTCTCTTATTCTCAGAACAGCGGAAGAGCAAGCAAAGAGGGGTCAAGAGAGCGTGTTGAGCGTGCATGAATGCCTGAGTTGGCTTAACTCGAAGCGATCCAACTCGGTGCTCTATATATGCTTCGGGAGCCTTTGCCATTTCCCAGATAGCCAACTGTACGAGATGGCATGTGGGATAGAAGCTTCGGGTCACGAATTCATATGGGTGGTACCTGAGAAAAAAGGGAAGGACGATGAGAGCGAGGAGGAGAAGGAAAAGTGGCTGCCAAAGGGTTTTGAAGAAAGGAATGGGAAGAAAGGGATGATCATTAGAGGGTGGGCCCCGCAGGTGCTGATACTGGACCACCCCGCCGTGGGTGCATTCCTGACGCATTGTGGGTGGAACTCCACCGTGGAGGCTGTCAGCGCAGGGGTTCCGATGATCACGTGGCCAGTGCATGGCGAACAATTCTACAACGAGAAGCTGATAACACGGGTGAGGGGGATTGGGGTGGAGGTGGGTGCAGAGGAGTGGAGAAATATTGGTTTTGGGGAGATAGAGAAGGTGGTGAGCAGAGATAGAATAGAGAATGCTGTGAAGAGGTTGATGGACGGTGGTGATGAAGCTCAGAAAATCAGAAGGCGTGCTCACGAGTTTGGGAAGAAGGCTAGAGAAGCTGTTCAGGAAGGTGGTTCATCCCACAACAATTTAACTGCCCTCATTAATGATCTTAAGCGCTTGAGAGACTATAAGCTTCTTTATTAACAGCCCTTCAAATTTAGTATATTATCTTACTTTCTGGTTAAAAACGAGGCATTTGAGATAAAAAGGAGAACGAATATGTATAATTATCAAATTGCTACAGTTTCAATCATCCACCTTGGTAGGTATCTTGTTGAACAAAAATGGTGATATTGTTTATCCATTGATAAAAAATCTCGATATTTTTGAGAAGTATCATAATCATCCAATAAGAAGGGTTTGAGTGTAACTTGTATTTTCTTTATAAAAAAGACATTTGTCAAGTACACAATCTGTAAGTTTGTTCTCCTGCCAATTACTATATTTCGCATGCTTCTTCGCAATGGTCCCCATATATATCGTGACATCAAACCTCGCTTTAGTATGATAGCTGCACAAACATGAATCCAATAAACACAAACAACTCAAATCAAATTCAAATGGACCCAACCTGCTTCATGCTTGTGACAACGCATCACAAGCATTGGACCTATCGCGTTACGGGTGCTTATTATAATATCTACAAATAAACGATTATTCAAATGTATACGCTGGTATTAAAGATTTTAAATTTTTACATATTTTAAAAAAACTTTAATAACTGTTCTGTTGCACCAGATCAGAAAATTTATCGCAACATTTATTTTCATTTGGATACGTATCCTGTAATTTTTTTTATTCCAGGATACGGCTTCATATCCTAGTATTAATAGATTTATTGTAACTTTTGTCATTTGAGAAATTTATTTAAAAAAGCCTCAAACAACATATCAAGTTTTATTTTATATTTTGTAATAATTAATGGGTTATACAACTATTATGTTATAGAAAAAATACTATTTAATCCTACGGAGACAGAAAAATAAGAGAGAAAATGAAATCAGTAAAGAGAAAAAAAATTGCGAAAGATACATATCCCATAATTAGTATACAAAAATGATTGTTGCATATATAATATATATTTTTTAACAAATTTTATTATTATCAATTCATTCACTAAAAAATGCATTATAAAATAATTAAACGAAATCTATAATGCTGATATTATAATCCCCACTCTTATCATTATTTATGAAACGATATGTATCTCTCGTCCAATCCCAGCATGTCAACACCATGTGACAGATTTTTGTTTCCCCCCTTGTTATTATGGTAAGGGTTTAAATTATCTCATTTTATAGAAGATAATTATCTCATGTTAGTGAGATATAAAAAGTTGTGCTATTCTTTTTTTATTTTTTTTTTATTTTTAAAAAATGGTGGGACCCACATAACTTGTTTCTATGCATGAGGTAAGTTATCTTCTATTGAAGGAGATTAATAAATCCCATTATTATTATACCAATTTCACCGAGAAAACGTTACTGCTTTCATGCTATACACACATATCAAAATACAAAAAATTTAATAGAACATCAATAATAGTATTCGAATGCCGCTGAGCCAAATCATATACATGAATACATTGCGCCCGCTTTGTAGCAAAGCACAAATACAGAAATGTAACAAGTTCCCTTTATCAAGAATAGAACTAAAGATTTTTTTTAAAAAAAGAAAAAGAAAGAAGACAAGAGTGTTATGACACAAAAATCGTATCACGATTTCCAGCATACAAAATTAAGGTGGTAGAGGTGTGATTATCTATGCTCATATAAAACTATATTAAAAGATAAATCAGAAGATGAGACAGACAGAAAAAATGAAAGAACAAATTGGCATAGTAGATACTTTTTTCACACATATCCAATAGCAAGCATACAACTTTCCTCGTCACCAAGTACTGTGAGCTGTAAAGGAATAGAATATCTTTATTCTTTATAATGCTAACTTCCCACTGTATCATAGAGAAGCAACAAGGGAGCTAGTTCCTATGATTTTTTACTCGAATTCAATGTACACAGTATTACTAATTTAATTATTTCCCTGTCTCAGCACCCTCAAGATGGAAAGGAACAGGTTCAGTATGTCAAGATAAAGAGTGACTGAAGCCCCAATGTACTCATCATAGGTAAATCGCTTGATCAGGTTGTCAGTGTCGTATACAATATAACCAGAAAATATCATAGCACTGATTCCACCAATGATAGCATTGGTTGTAGGCCCAAGAGGGAAGAACATCTATATGAAAGAAAAGCAAATATTATGACAAAAGTTGCAAAAACATTCACTGTATATAAATGTGCACTTGTCTTGCAATTTTGAAAACTACAGAAAAGTTGATATTTATCATATCATGAAATAAGAAAATCTGACCTGCATCATTCCAGTCAAGAACAGAGTAAAGAGACAAGTGAACAATATTGGACCAAGGTAGCTAAAATCCTTGCCCTTCTTGGAAGCCCAGAAAGCATAGCCCGTTAGAGAGGAAACCACTGCTGAGGTCAAAATCAATGCTTCAAGGACAATTTTTCCTGCAAGCATTTCATCGAGATATAATCAGATCAATATGAGCAGAGCAGAAAAAACCTGCATAACATGTGAACAAGACAACAACCCTTCACTGTTCTACCCAATTAGAAAACGAGAAGGTATGGTGTAGAAACATGTATATCAGATGAATGGAGGAGAATGATACCAACCATCTGTGTTTGCACAAGTAACTCCGACAGTCAAACTTATAGACAAGGTGAAAAGTCCAAGCAAGATGTAGTTATGGGGATGCTTTTGCTGGTACTTGAGTAAAGGGAACAAGACTGCAAGAGATTCAGATTCAGTTTTATGAGATTAACATATTAACCCAAAAATAAAAATAAAAACACAACAACTAAACCAGTAATAAGCCTCAAAATGTAAGTTTATCATCAATGAAGCAGTTTTTAATAATAGACAAAATTTCATTTTTGGCGAAGAAATGAGACAGCAGAACTAAAAATATCCTCTTATACGAAAAAATCACTTACAAGCATTATTAAAAAAAATCTCAAAATGAAATGCCAGTATTTATATATGCAATCAAGTATCAACATGTCAAACAACAACAAAGAAAAGAATTCTCATGTATGGAAGAAGAATTAGGTGAGTTCCATAGAAGTTGCCCACAAGGGCAAGTGAACAATGTGACATTTATAGGCAAAGCATGAGCTGTTTAGGAGGTGAGACTAGAACTGTTTCCCATGATGGGGTATAGCATCTCAATGTAACAGTGATCTAAGATGCAGTGGTATTAACCAAAGCTCTATGGAGAGTCAGTGTAGGTGATATCTGAGAGCAAGGGGAAATGTATAAGAACACAGTGACTCACTCTCTCACCCTAAGGGCATGGTGGTTTTGAGATAGTATTTTGGAAGAGCAATAGCTCTGGAATCGGTGTGTGTAAAAGGTGCTTTTTCAATTGATATATATGTAGGTGGGGAAGATTTCCCAATTATGAGTGAGAGAGTGAGTTTTGCTCTTGTGGGCCCCCCTGTGTGAGGCAAGCACACTCACATGAAGCTTGAAGTGTGAGCTGTGTGTGCAAGAGAGTGAGATCCTCCACACTGAGGGTTTAAAAATCACACTATAGGAATGTAGGGAGTGATCCCTTATATGGGTTTAAATGGACGGCCCATTGGACTGGGCAAGTGCGGCCGGTCCAAAACAAAGCATATGATAAACATAAGGATCGCTATGTAACCGAAATTTACACGCAACACATCAGATAGAAAGGCCTAAGACACACATTACCATTAAATGAGGTTGCACAAGTTATGATTTATATGAGATGGACAGCTTAAGGGTGTTTTTGTTTGAACGGGATACATTTTCCTTTCTTTTGCTGCTTCTAATAATTAATAGGAAAACAGGTTCAGTTAAGGAACATCACCATTCGAGACAAAGGAAAATCTGCTAGTATCAGTGGGAAAATAACTTCCACCCATGTTATTCCCGTTGTAAATTGTAATGTTAATGCTCTTTCTACTATGCTTTAGAATCAGTATATATGATACAGAAAACAAAGAAGTCAGTATATCAATTGTTATTAACTTTGTTGATACTAAGTAAGGCAAAGATTACAATTGTTAATGAGTGATCATTTGAAGGAAAAATAATGCATAAATGAAGGAAGCACAATGTCCAAAATAGGAAAATTGAAAGAAATTACTTCAAACCCTAGGAAAATAAAATTTCAGCAAAAAAATTCAAAAAATTATAGAGAATTAAGAAAGAGAATGTATAGAAGACTGTACAGATGAAGGGGAGAAAGACAATGAAGAGTAGGGCAGAAGTGCCCCTGAGGAGATCGTTGATGGGAGAGTAGAAGACGGTAATGAAGGAAACGATGGTGGTGAGAAGGATCTGGGCAGAGAGGATTCCATAGACCTTGCGTATGAAGCCCCATCGAAGCTGGTTCTCTCCGACGCTGAGACCTGGATATAGGGTCTCCCCTGATTCTAGGTCGTACTCCTCTTTCTTGGTGCCGGTGCTGCGCACCTCCATGTAACCCTGCTGCTCATTCATCTTCTTTCCTTTCTTTCTTCTCTCGCTCCAAATGAAAGATTAACTATCAGGAATTGGAAAATTCGTAAGGGGGGGTTTCTTCTTTCTCACTCGTCACTAGTCAGTAGTTACCATCGCGACGGGTTATTTTCTTCTTTCTTGCGCTAGAGTTGCTTTTCTACAAAGGAATGAGCTAATGCACAATTAATAAGAAGCAATGATGTAGATAAATTCATAGCAATTCCTTGTTCACGTTTGATATAGTAGAAATTTTTATTTGTTTTTTATTCGACATAATATTTTAAGAGTCAATGAAGAATTCGACACATGATTTCTATTTTTTTTAATTTAAATCAGTTTAATTCGATTTGAGTACTCTCAAATTTTGGAATGGTTATATTTATAAACTAAATTATTTACAAATTTTTATAACCAATTGTTAATTGTTAATTTTCGTCAATCTAATCGTTATAATTTATTGGGTCACACTTATTGATTAATTATTAATTTTTAATAAATTATAACCATTAAATTGACGAAAATCATCGATTAACTCTTTCTCGGTCTAATTATGTGAAGAAGGTGTTGAAATTGATCAAGTCTCTCGACACACCTTTAGTAGCACTCTTCAGATTAAAATATGTTTCTGGTGATCTTTCTTCAGAAGAATTAAAGCACATGTTGTACGTGCCTTACTCAAATAGTGTTGGTTGTCTGGTGTATGCTATAATAGATTCAAGGCCCGATATAACATATGGGGTTCGTGTAATTAGTAGGTTTATGAGTAAACCTTGTAAACATCATTGGTTTGTTGTAAAATGATTGTTGAGATACTTAAATGGGTCATTTGACCACTATTTGCATTATTCTGCTAAATTCAAATGATTTTGAAATTATAGGATTTTGTGACTCTAATCTTGATAAAAGGAGATCACTAACTGATTTTGTATTTATTAAAAGAGGTAAGGTGGAGAGCTAGAAATCCAAATTTAAACACATTATGGCCTTGTCAACAACTTGTCCTCAAATTTATTAAAGAAAAACAAGCGCAACGAATAATTACAGTTAATATTTTAATAAGGGGAGGGAGGGGGGGGGGGGGGGGGGGGGGGTAAAAAAGGAAGTTGGTGGTTCAAAAGTTTAAATTCTATAACTTATTTGAAATCGAATAATTATTATCATCGTTAAAAAATATTTTTAATTTGCATGCATGATATTTACTTTTAATTTGGTCTACACGTATATATGAGCAGATCTTTTGACATCGTATCAAATTTTAAAATTTGATACTAAATTCTAATCGTTGATTTCCACCAATCAACAATTATCATTTATTAAAAATTTTGATTCCCAACAAATGATAATCGTTAATTGGTGAAAATCTATGGTTAAAATTTGGTGTCAAATTTAAAAGTTTGACACCGATATGAAAGGATCCTATTATATATATGTATATATGTTAAATTTAAGTCTTATTACGGGATATGTTATATTTACTACTGAAAACTTTACAACTTTTACTATTAAACTAAGGGAAAAATATTTCTCCAATGAGTGCAAAATGACGTCGATTTGGGATTGTAAGATTAAAAAATTATAATGATAAAGAGTAATATAACCCTGCAATATATTAGAATTACAAAAACACTTTGATTTTCACCCCAAAATGACGTCGTTTGGGCTCATCGGCGATAACTTATCTCCATTGACTGGAGAAATTCTTTACCCTTAAACTAATCGCCGTTAATTTCTGTCAATCTAACGATTATAATTTATTGAAAATTATTAATTAATTAATAAATATATTCACTAAATTATAACTGCTAAATTGTCAGAAATCAACAATTAATTTAATAATAAAAGTTGTAAAAAATTTTAATAGTAAGTATAACACTAATTATTCATCTCTATATATAAATTATAACCGCCCTCCTTTTATATATATATATATATATATATATATATATATATATATATGATTTAATGTTTCTATAATGTACGTAGATAACTTCCAAAACGACATCATTTTATGTTGAAAGATTGAAAAATTATAATAAGAAAAACTATTATAACTCTGAAATAAATTATAATTTACAAAAATATCATGATTTTCGTCTCAAAACGACGTCGTTTTGAGCTCAATGTAAATAACTTATTTATATTGACTACAGAAAAAACGAATATATATATATATATATATATATATATATATATATATATAAGGTAGGATCCTTTGACACCAGTGTCAAATTTAAAATTTGGCACCTCATCTGATAGCCGTTAGATAAAAAAAGATCAACGACTTTTATTTGTAAGCATGTGACACCATTAATCTTTATTTATCTAACGGCTCTCAGATGAGGTTTCAAACTATAAGTTTGACAAAGGATCATTCCCTTATATATATATATATATATATATATATATATATATATATATATATATATATATATATATATATATATATGGGAATGATATTGTAACAACCAAGTTGTGTTACATGTTACTACCAATCAATCTCACCGTTAGATCGATTATATGTGGATCCAACATTTATATTTATTTCCATCTTTGTATGGTCATGATTCTACATATTTAAAGTGAAAGCATTAAATATGTGAAATCATAACTATACAAAAGTGAAAATAAATATAAAGTATTAAATATGGAGAATCATGATCATACAAAAATAGAAATAAATATAATCATTGGATCTACATAATCGATCTAACGGTGAGATTGATTGGTAGTAACATGATAATAACACAACTTGGTTGTTACAATATCTTTTTCCATATATGTATATGTATGAGAGAAAGAAGTTATCTCATGTGAAAGGAGAGTAATATTTTTCATATATATAATCGTTTTCAATTTTGTTCATCTCTATGCATAATAATTATTCTTAATTGGATCTCGATAAATTTTAATTCTTATATATTTTTAATATTTTAACACTAATTTCATTGGGTTAGAACGCTAATAAATGAGGAGAATGAATCAGAATTTGAAATCGATTATATATAGAAATATTAAAGAAGATGTTATTCGTACAAAAAAAAATAAAACGGGTGCTACCTACTGGCTGCAGCCCACAGGATAAAAGGAACTATTCATTATATTCAAAAAGGAAATATTTAAGGAAAAATATTTTATCATGTTACATAAGAATTGAATTCTCATGTTGTAATCTTTTGATTTGCGTGCAATTTTTTTTTAATAAATGTGGAGTCTATCACTAATTGAGTCACAATAAGAAAATTCAATTCTCATGCAACATGAGAAAATTAAACTCCAATATTTAAATATATTATTATGGGCTCTACTAATCTACAACAACATGAGAGAGGGTATCTCCTACTATATTGTGGTGGGACCCACATAGTTATTAAATATGGAATTAGTTTTCTTATGTTGTAAGAAAAAATTCTTTCATGTAGCATAAACAAAATTATAAGTGGGACCCACATGTTAGAGGAAAGAGAAAAATAGATGTGAGACCCACCTCTCTTTTGTTTACGTAAAAAATTAGTTTCTTTTATGTAACATGGAATAAATATAACCCTATTAAATAAAAAAAATCTAAAAATTTATGTCTCTATAGAAAAATAAACTACTCTCCTGCTGTTGGTGGAGAATAATTTTTCCCTATTATTGTGGGCTTGCAATTTCTCATGTTGCATGAAAAATTCAAGTTTTTCTACATAGAGAGAAAGGAGCGAGGCCCACCTTAAAGAAAAAATAAAAAATAAAAAAGTGATTGACACAAACAATAAAGTGAGAGTGGTCGAAGAAGAGACTTCTCATTCAACACGAGATCGAGAAGTCTTTCTCGCTAATATTATTGATCAAATAGTGGTTAGTGACAGTGTTGTTTCTTACAGGAAAACTGTTGAAAGAAGGAAAGACGAATAAAAAGTAAAAAATAAAGAAAAGTTGCTCTTTCAAATACAATGAATTTAAATTTTTATTTATTTATGTCAACAAATAATTGTTTAATTAATTAGAGAGATGATGTGGGTTAATTGGAGATTGGGTGGGGAGAAAGAAAGAAATGAGTACACAACATTCTGGGTTTGGGATCCCGATCCATACTCCCACCTTCCGCGCAGCAATCCAATTCAACCAATTTCAACACTCAATCGGTTTCCGCCCAAACTCGAGGTAAATTTTCTTTACGAAACCCTAGCTTTCATCAATTTCTTGCTGCGTTGACTCCATGCTTATTCTTTTGCTCCAAACTTTTTTTTTTCAATTGCATTGATTAAATTATATTTTTTTGTAATTTCGGCGCTCGATTATGTTATTTTCTTCATTTTTTGTCTGGTTATTGAGAAATTTGGGAGAAATCGTACCAGAAAAAACTGTGGGTGATTAAATTTATAAGCTAGATCATAGCTGTGGGGAAGTTTGTGTATTACTTATACCTGAATGACAGATGAATTTTGTTTTGTTTTACTTCCTTCGACCATAAAGTGACCAATTATAAGATTTTTTTTTCTTTGATTTTTCAGCTACAGCAGGAATATGCTGTAACTCCATGAAGGTGCTTTCTAATTAGCATATGGAATGTGTTTTTGCTTGCCTTAAAAGAGGGAGGATCACAGTAGAGAAGTTAATATACCAGTTTCAAAGAGCTTTGAACAACTGCAGCTCTTGCCTAAAGTTTATATAGAACTTTTCTCCATTGTCCATACCACTAATTAGATTTGAATGAAGAAGAATTTTGGAGCATGATTGCAAAGGAAAACCCAGTAGGTACTGAACTGGCAATGAATAATGCCAGTGGGGAAGAGGAAATAGAATATGCCTGTGAACCATACATAGGGCTAGAATTTGACTCAGCAGATGATGCGCTTAAGTTTTACACATCCTATGCAAAGCGAACTGGATTTAAAGTTCGGATTGGTCAGCTGTATCGATCAAGAACTAATGGGTCGGTTTCTTCTCGAAGATTCGTGTGCTCAAAGGAGGGTTACCAGCTCAATTCAAGAACAGGTTGTCCAGCATTTGTAAGGGTACAAAGACGTGAATCTGGAAAGTGGGTTATTGATCATTTCCTGAAGGGCCACAATCACGATCTTGTAGCGGAAAGTGAAAATTGCACTCCAACTTTGCAGCAGAAAGGTGCTACAGATATCAATTATTCTGTTAATGCATCTCGCAGGCAAAGGAAGAAATTGCTTGAAGAAGCCGACGATGAACCATCTTGTCCCTTTGGCATTATTAATTTCAAACGTCTAAGAAAAGAAGGAGACCAAGGAAAGTCCAGGATTGAACCATATGTAGGTCAAGTGTTTAGTTCAGCTAATGAAGCCTACCAATTTTATCATGCATATGCAGCATGTGTGGGTTTTGGTATTCGATTTGGTCAATTGTTTCGTTCTAAGAATGATGGGTTGATCACTTCCCGCCGATTTGTGTGCTCGAAGGAAGGGTTCCAGCACCCTTCAAGAGTTGGTTGTGGGACTTATTTGAGAATAAAGAGACAACCATCAGGAAAGTGGGTAGTGGACCGTCTCCAAAAAGAACATAATCATAATCTGGACCCTGAAAAGGAGGGTAGGGAAAAAAGTCTTCCCGCTTCTAATATTTTGAGTGAGGAGGTAGATGCTGGATTGTTAAACGGTAAATTGTTTCGGATAGATAACTACCCTGTCCCAAGAGTAGATAGACAAAATCACATTAAAAGTGATTGGTACACTCTGCTTTTTGAATATTTTCAATCAAGACAAGTTGAAGATACAGGATTCTTTTATGCTGTGGAAGTTGATAATGGTAAATGCATGAGCATATTTTGGGCTGATGGCAGATCTAGATTTTCATGTAGTCAGTTCGGTGATGTCCTTGTTTTAGACACGTTTTATCGAAAAAGTGTCTATTTGGTACCTTTTGCTACTTTTGTTGGCATTAACCATCACAAGCAACCTGTGCTTCTTGGATGTGCTCTAATTGCTGATGAATCTGAAGAATCTTTCACCTGGTTGTTTCGGACCTGGCTGAGGGCAACGTGTGGCCAGCAGCCTCTGTCAATAATAGCTGATCAAGACATTGCAATCCAGAAGGCAATAGCAAAAGTCTTTCCAGCAACCCATCATCGATTTTCGTTGTGGGAAATTAAGGCAAAGGAACAAGAGAATGTGGGTCTGATGGGTAATGGATTTTCAAATGATTTTGAAAAAAGCATTTACCAGAGTCAGACAGTTAATGAATTTGACACCGCATGGAATGCCCTGCTCAACAAGTATGGATTGAAGGATAATGCTTGGCTGAAAGAAATGTATGAGAAGCGTGCGTCTTGGGTTCCATTTTATTTAAGGGGCACTTTTTTTGCTGGGATTCCCATCAATGAAAGTGTCGATTCATTCTTTGGTGCACTTTTAAATGCCCAGACTCCTATCGTGGAGTTCATTTCACGGTATGAAAGAGGTCTTGAGCGACGCCGTGAGGAAGAAAGAAAAGAAGATTTTAATACCTCCAATTTTCAACCCATGTTGCAAACAAAAGAACCAGTAGAAGAACAATGTAGAAGGCTTTACACTCTTACCATATTCAAAGTATTTCAGAAAGAGCTTTTGCAATGTTATAGTTATCTTGGGTTTAAAATTTACGAAGAAGGTGGCCTTAGCAGATATTTGGTGCGTAGGTGTGGAAACGATATGGAGAAGCATGTAGTTACATTTAGTGTGTCCAATCTAAGCATTAGTTGTAGCTGTCAGATGTTTGAATATGAAGGAATTCTTTGTAGACATGCTTTGAGGGTTTTTCAAATATTGGAATTAAGAGAAGTTCCATCTCGCTACATCTTGCACCGATGGACAAAAAATGCAGACGATGGTGTTTTTCCTGACATTGAAGCCTGGAGTAGCTCTCAGGAACTCAGGAATTTGATGCTATGGAGTCTAAGAGAAACTGCATCTAAATACATAGATGCTGGGGCAACATCTATTGAAAAGTACAAACTTGCCTGCGAGATTTTGCGTGAGGGTGGGAGGAAGCTATGTTGGCCCAGGTGAATAATTCTATATTGTGTGAGGTTGTACATAGTTGCACAATTAAGCTATATAGCTTGAACTGTTTTTTATAGTCACATTTCTGCTTTTCTAACCAAAATACCAATGTTTTTCCTGCATAGTGGTATTTCTTCAATTTTAAGCTAATTAATGCATGGTTATGGTTGCGGGTTCTTTTAACAATTGGTTTATTGTATTGAATCGAGATTGTGTTGACTCCATATACGGAGCGAGTGATCCCTGCCAGGTTTTTGAATGGGTTTTTTAATTTTAATAATGTAGAAGGTTATATTTACAAATTTTTTGTTTACAAATTCTTATAAATTACACTATGTCTAAGTGAAGTCTTACCGGTAAGATATAGTGTAATTTGTAAGTTTGTAAAAAAAAATTTGTCTATATAACCTTTCTCTTTAATAATAGCGACTTTTTTTAAAAAAAAGTAACTTAATAGGAACTTCGTGCCTAGGATAAATAATAACTTCCGTTTAACCTAACTGATATTAATTAAGTTGTACTCAGTATTCCCGTTTATATTAATTAATCTATATTTTTATAATTTTAACAGTTAATTCGAAAAGAAAAATACCACTTGACAAATAGTCCTCGATTCCTTAGCATATGCAAAAGAATTAGTTAGGCAATAGAATGAACCGAGATTCTTGTGAAACTGAAGAGAGAATCTGGCAATAGAACTTGGATGGGAGCATCATAGGTTCCTGTACGCTACACGGCAAAGCTGAGTGGACAATCAAAGTTCACAGATGCTGTCGTATCTTTTATCATTAACAATTTAGTCATCTGTGGACCATAAATTACCATTGAAGATCGCAAGTATTTTTTAGTGTTTGAGAACTAAATCGAAGTAAATTTAGTAAATTGACGATTGGATAATGGAAACGAATGAAAATCGCCACTCGGCATCACTGATTCTCTTTCTTTCTGTTATCTTCTTGCGGTCTGTGTTGTCTTTAGGTAGACCGCGCCAATGGAATGGATGATAGCTAGTCAACAAAAAGCCACAAACTCTAGTAAAGCTGCAGTCAAAATTTTGCTTATCTGATTAGGGAGTAGTTTTCAGGTACCGCTACTAATTTTATCATCACGAACCGCTTTGGTGTTTCTACGCTTCTATTGGGACAAATGTCCCACTTTCTTTTATTTTAGTTCTAGACAAATGCCTCCGAATGGAATTGGAAATTTGATACTAAAATATAAGTGGTTTGGTACTACAGGCAAGGATCCTTAGTTTTGCTTCGGGATAAATTTTCAAGACTCTTCATTGTGAGGACTACGTGCTACTAAACCCATTATAATTAAAAAATATGATTCGACCTAATTCCGTTTATTTCACTCATTTCTTTATTTTTTATGCCACATGAGTTCAGTTATTTTCTAATTTTGATATAGTGTACGTGGTAAAAGAAGACTGAAATCTTACTTCCAGTGTCCCGATCTAGAGAGCAATTTTTTTTTTTTTTTTTTACTTAGTGGGCAATGGAATGGGATGTAACGAATGGCATGGGTTAGGACTTAGGAGTTGTAAAAATGATTTTTCAATTAGTTTATACATTTTTATTTTTTCTAACTTCAGAAAAGTTTTCATTCTTCTTTGAAAACGTTCAATCTAAATTCAAGAAGTGCAATTTTCTGGTGCACTGCTTGATTACTTGACTTCCAGCGTTGGGTTAGAGAACCTGGTTCCTAAGCTTTTTACTTTATACCATTATCGGCTTTTGCCTGAGGTCAAGCGCATATTTTTTGCTTTGCTCTGTGCGCAATGGAATGGAGTTTGGAATATAACCAAATAAACCTGTGTAATTGTTCCTTTTTTTTCCCTTCACTAACAGAATGTGTCTTTTTCTTCCCAATTAGTTCGTTACTTATCTTTTAACCCGAGAAAAGTCATGATTCTTCTTTGAGAAAAGCAAAGGAATTGATGATGAGTCACTAACCATCTTCCTCTTAGTATAATAAGAAAAAGCATATACTTAGTTCATCCTGATAATATCTTTCTTCCCAATTTCCACCATACTAACAAATAGTAAACAGAATAAATAGAGTTGAGGCTGTAAATTTTCTCTTATCATTAGTAGATACATAAGCCAACAACCACAGGCAGTCGAGTTCCATAAATATTAACATCTGCACACAGCTTTGCCTCTTAGTTATGCATATATTACACATAACATATATACACTGCTATGGCTTTCAGTTACACCATATATCAACTCATCTATTGTCAAAATTACATCAATATAGATGGAATCAGTAAGGATTTAAAAAACTATTGCCTTGACGCAGCCCTTCAATCTTAATGCTTCCTTGGTGACACTAGGGTTTCAGCGTAGACCTCTGCATCAAACCAACCCTTCCCACTCTGAATTTTAGGATACTTAAAAGAGTGGTCTCTTGGGTCATACAAAATTAAGTCAAACTCAAACATTAACAGGACTTGACCATTCTCTGAAATGCAATACGGCCCTGAATATGAAAAATCTTCAGGATTAGACAAATAGGGAATGGTTACCAATTTTACCCAGGACTCTCTTACTCCGTACTCCTTCATTAGCCACACAACAAAGTGAGTTCTTTTGTAATCATAATTCATGCACAGGCATCCCATTAAAACACCCAAAGTAGGGGTGGAACAGTCTTCCTTTTCATAATCAGGTGGCAGAAATTCCTGGTATGTTTCCTTGTGAAGATCGAAAGAAACAATTATCCATAAAGAACTTGAACCAACAGAATAATTTGCCGCCCAATTGAGAGTGCCACTCAAGAATTTCCCGGAACTTTGGTAAGGTGTGACACCATGAGGGAAATCCTGAATCTTTCTCCAAGAATTGGTGGCCATACTATAGACCTTCACTTTAGTTTCACTTAAAAATACGTTAGGGTCACAAAACACAGCCACCACCTTGTAATCATCACTCTTTTCATCATAACCAAGCCCAAAATCAGTATAACACCCGGGCCTCCAATTATTACCCAAAGGTGGGGATTTCTTGGAGACTCTAATAGATGGGTTCCAGAGAAGCACACAGTCTCCTTTAATGGCAAAACAGAGCAACCCATTACAAGAACCAACAATTCCATCATGGCGGAACTTGTTCTTCACTGGGTAGTTAAGGTCCTCACAAATGGTTGATGGGTTGTTAAACAAAGAGCTCACAGAGCAAGACTTGAGGTGAAACTCAGCGGTTGTGGTACTTAATATGATCCTATGGTGTGTGAAGTTGGTGCTTTGAGTTGACAAGTGAAGGTGTTTTTTCACCAGGTAAGGATCAGAAATCAGAGACATCCAAGACTTGCATACGCACCTGAATTGAAGCAGAGACCTCACAGAGAGCCTTGACAGAATTTCTTCAACCAGTTCATCAGGGAAGAAGGGTAGTGGAACTGAAACCAGAGCTGCTGCGTTGTTTTTACGCGGTGGTGCTAAGGTTTGGTCTTTGGGCTCTCTCTTTCTCGTGCCTCGGCGGTGGTCGTAATCGCCGCCTTCCTCCGACGACAACATATCGGTGAGAGGGGAGGTTCTGGTTGTAGGTGAGTGATCACTGATTAGTGCCTAAGTTTCTTTCTCTCTCCCCTTTGAGCGTTTCATCTGGGGGCTGATCATGATTTATAGATGCTTAACAGTCATGCCACGACATCATTCACCTTTATTATTTAAATTACGGTAAGAGGAGATATTTTTACTTGGCTCAATCATTCTCTGGAAGAACCGGTTTAAAGTTACCTTATTATTGCTTATAATATACATAGATTCCTCAATTCACAGTATTGAATGTTCAAATCTTGGCTCCAAACACAAATATACTAACACCAACCGTGATATCTAAATATCTGTTGTTATGTGACATACAATGATATTCTTTTCAATAAGCTAAGTAGGAGCTTAAATCAGTGTGTTAGGAATTAACACTACATCGTAACCAAAAAAATTTAATCGTGTGTCAACAAAGGTGGGCACAGTTGGCTAAGGGTTTGGTCCATACTCCTCAAGGACGTGGGTTCAAACCCCGCTGGCCGATGTGAGGACTTTGTTGGTGAGTGATATTGTAATCCCTCCCAGAAATCCTCAAAGAGGTTGGGGTCTTCCCCCACTCTAGTGGGATACCGGTGTCTAATCTCATTTAAACTTTTATTTACAAAAAAAAATAAAATTTAACGTGTTGTTTATGTGTCTTTCTAGTTATATACTCCTTACTTAGATTATCATTTCTAACTAACATAAAACTTAGTATTCATCATTTACATTTAACTTTCAACACAAACCTTAAAATGAATTAATAGTCAAGAAGAATTACTTGCTAAGGTAATGTTGAACTTAAAGCCTGACGCAACTTATTAAGAAATCTAATTTAGTTTCGTTATATATTAAAAGAGTTTGATGTTTCTTACGTTATAATAAGAGATAAAATTATCTCCTATACATATATAATATGGTATTATGTGAAGAGAAAATAGAAAATAAAATAAAATATGAGCCCACATATTTTTATATAGGACATGTTTGGTGCATAGTATAGGATAAGGCATGATAAGATAAGACCTAATAGTATAAAGCCTGATTGTACAAGACCTGATTGGATTTTAATACTATCCAACGTTTGACACGGTATTGTATAAAATAATATATTGTATAAGATAATATCATCTAGTATTTGGTAATGCACTGTATAATATTATATAGGATAAAAATAAATATTTTTAATAAAAATATCCTTTAATAAAGAATTTATATAATTCTTCAAAAAAATATCATATGATATTAATTTTTATAAAAAATTATTGATCAGTGTGTCCAAAACATAAATTAATTTTTATAAAAAAAATATTCAATATTTTAAAAATTAATATATCAAATTAATTTTTATTTTAATATATTAATATTAAAATAATATATTAATTTTTGAGAATTACACTGGTCAACGATGTTAATACACCAACCTCTTCTCAGGCCTTATCCCTCCCCCTTAGGCCGGATTAAGTTATACATTATTTTGATGTATTAAGGGATCCTATTGTATAAGCTTATATACTATACGATGGTCACACCAAACAATTGAAAATGTCATAATGTATAATATAAGCTTATACTATCAGACCTTATACGTCGCACTAAACAGGTCCTAAGATATTATTTTATCTCCTGTAACCTGAGAGACATTAAACTCATATTTAAAACTACATTACTAGTTTTTACCCGCAGATTTTTAAAATTAATTTGGTGGTAACCATAGCTGTAAAGCTGAGTAATTGTAATAGCATAAACTATGTACAATAAGTATTTCCACCAAAAATATTTAAAAATTATAAATTTATATATAAAATAGAGTTTTCAGTCTGAGATTCATATTATAGTATCTTCTTTTATAAAATGCGTGATTCCGCGGGCACTTTTTTTTATACAAAAACAACTCTTAGTTAGATTTTTTTTCTCACAATCCAAATGTTTACGTTCTCAAAATAAATAATTATAATTTTATTTATGTTAAAAAGAATCTCCTTAAATCTCAATTGTTCATGTTCTTAGAACTCAACTCTGCATTTTCATATATTAAATTGAAGTATTCTATAATAACAGCGAATTAATATTTTAGTCTATTCTCCTTTTAAAAATGACATGTATTGTTCTTAGTTTTTTTTTATTTGATTTCAAATTTAAATTAATACTACTAAGCATGACATAAAGAAAAAAACAAAGGTTTATAATATTATAATTGAATTTAAAAATAATTTGACTTCTTTTTTATACAAGAGGAGACAAAATCGCAATATATTAAATTGTTGATATTAGTATATTATATTGTTTACACAGAATTTGTAGTCTTGTATTCTTTTGGATATGCAGAATTTTGTACTACTTTAGTTTATTGGTTAAGCATATTTTTTAATAATTTTATTCTATATTATGCTGTTTGAATATACATTGAATTTATGAATCTTTGTGAAATTATTAGTGTTATTGATTGTATATTCTGTTTGGATAGATTTTTATTGTCTTAACAGGCTAAGCAATGCTTTTATATTTTGTAAATAAGCCGGTCACAAGACAATAATTATATTCATAACAGGTCTAGGTCAATCATACACATCTAAACGCATACTTAGATTTTCAAAACTAAAGTTTAGCCCAACCCAACTCATTTACACTCCTAGTCACAAATTTGATCTTCACCATTCTTATTTTACTTATAAAAACAATTAAATATTATTAAGTATTTTGAGCATAATAACTTCAGTCAAATACATCATCTATCATTTAAGTCCAATAAATTTCATATACAAATATATAAATAAATATAAAATTATTAATATAGTTTCTTCAAACTATGAAACATGGATAAGAACATTTTGAGACGATTTCTACATCATGATTTATCTTATCACCTAAATTTGCTGCGACTTTCAATGGTGGTGAGCGACTCTGCCTCTTTGCCTATCCTATCATTAACACTCACTGTCTCTAAGTTTGAGCCTCATCCACTAGATGGTGAAGATTGCTATTACATGCTTTCATGTTATTGTCAATATCATTTTGCCCCACACAGACCACTACAGCTTTCATATATTTTTTATCCACTTGTTCAATGGATAAGACGACCGCAGGAGCTCCTCAATAGTTCTATGAGCAAACGACAAAGCAATAATGAGAAAAATTCAATCTAGAATTCGCTTTAAGAAAATTTCCATATAGCATCATTTTCACCTTGGTCCTTTTGTAATTCTGCACCTTGTTTGCTTGTTGTACGTTGAGATAATGCAGCTATTTTTTTTTAAGAGTTAATTTAAGTCGCGATTGCTTGTTGAAAATCATCGAGTGGTGAAGTTTGTTAGTCAAACATCGATAAGTTAGAAGAAAATAATTTTCGTACTACAAATATGAAACAAAAAAGAAAACACATTTATATTATTTTTATCTGTATGGTTATCTCTGGTAAAGAACTTTGGGATACACCACCCCAAAAACTAGCTCAAAGGGTGGGAGTGCCCAAGGCCTTATAAAGGTCACATTAGTTGTCCACATAATCAATGTGAGACTATATATCTCAACACGCCCCCTCACGCAAGAGTTCTTTGGCCTAGAAGCGTGGAACTGCACAGGCCCAATTTTTGGTTTAACTTTTTGTTTTTAATTCCACTTGAAAGTGGGGGGTCGTGAGGATCGCTCTGATACCATGTAAAGAACCTTGGGATATACCACCCCAAAAGCTAGCTCAAAGGGTGGGAGTGCCCAAGGCTTTATAAATGTCACATTAGTTGTCCACATAATCAATGTGAGACTATATATCTCAACATCTCTTTCCATATTCTATTTTATTTCTTTTTTTACCTAAAATGTGCTACAGTTAGAGGTGCTGCTGGGAATGTTCCACTATGTGAAAAACTGTTTTTTTTAAGAAGGATAATGAACACATGCAATAGAAAATAATAATTTCTACCATAGACATAATTTTAATAGTTTTCACACTTAAAAAAAATAAAATAAAGACTCAAATCTCTAGGTATGTGATATAAGAAATATTTTCTCATGCAACATGAGATGAATATTTTTCTTTGAAAAAATGCAATTATCCTATAATAAAATTAAAGATTCGTTTTTTCTAAAGTTTCTTTAGATAATTTTATCTAATATTTACTGAAATGATATTGTTTTGTGGCAGAAATCATAATAAATTTGTAATTTTAATTTATTTCAAGGTTGTAATAGCCTTTATATTTTAATATTTTAATTTTTTAATTTTTTAACGAACAAAAACATCATTTCTGTAAATAATAGACAAAATTATTTAAGGTAATATTATTTTTTCTCTATAATTAATGATTGTTGTTATTTTTTTTCCTGTACCATTTGAGTCAACACCCCGCGTGTCCAGATCGAGCAGAGGATAATCCCAATCAATGTTTTCGTTTGTGTCGGTATTTTCATTTGAACCAATTAAGTACCCCCTAACTACATATCAACTCGCAGGGACAAACTAGATAAGAACTTTCTGTATAATCTCACTTGAATTTTTTTCCGCGTGCTACCTAATTACCATGCATATCACCGAAGAAACACATTAAATCACGATATTGACTTGTTGCAAAAATGATACATTAGAAACCTACTAGTAGAGCTCAAAGGTAAGACAAAACATTATTTTCATTTTAGTATAAATTTATAATTGGCTTTAACAGAGAGAATCTCAACTCGCTTTACTAATTCTAGTCTGGGCTGTACTTGAATCTCCTTTCTGTTCAAATCATTGGAATGAACAACTGACACATACATATCATGCTGGAAAGTCATACGACTCATACATAACCACATTCAACAGGGATCTCGTAGCAGGTACATCCATGAAATTTATTTAAGGAAAAGCAATTCCCTAAAAAAAAAAAAAATTCTCAATAAGATAGTTATCATTAAGAAAAACGACTTTGCTGCCAAAATAGACATTTGAATTGGACAACGCTAGAACGACCAAAATCACGTGGACGAAGATATTCGGGGCAAGGAAGCCAAGATTAATAATATTGATTTCATAACATGTAGCTCGGACTAAATTGGATATCATCATTAATATTAACGTTTCATCAAATATG